ACACTTTCTTGTAGCATCAAATAGATCCTTCTTTAAAATAGACCATATCTTATGCAACAAAGCAACTTTTAGCAAATACATATAAAAAGTAAAGATACTACCTTGCATTCCATCAGACCATAATGGAATGAAATTAGAAATCAACAATGAAATAAAAATGGCAAACTATTCCAACACCAGGAAACTAAATAATATGCTACTGAAGGACAAATGTGGAGCAGAAGAAATAAAAGATGAAATAAAAAAATACTTAGAGGTAAATGAAAACACTTATACAACATATCAAAATCTCTGGGACACCATGAAAGCAGTGCTAAAAAAAAAAGTTCATTGCATTGAGCTCATTCCTTAAAAGAATAGAAAGTCAATAAATAAATAACCTAACAATATATCTCAAAGCCCTAAAAGAAGAACAAAAAAACACCAAAAGTAGTAGAAAACAGGAAATAATAATTAAAACCCTAGCTGAAATCAACAAAATTGAAACAAAATAAAGAAACCAAAAATTGACAAAAATGAAAAGTTGGTTCTTTGAGAAAATAAATAAAATTAATAAGCCCTTAAGCATGCTAACAAAGAAAAAGCAAAAAACATTCAAATTATTAAAATTTGTGATGAAAGAGGAAATATATTGGACACTACTGAAATACAGAAGATAATCAGAAACTATTTTAAAAATTTATACTCCAATAAAATAGAAAATCTTGAAGATATCAACAAATTTCTAGAGACATATGACCAACCCAAATTGAACTAGGAAGACATACACAATTTGAACAGACCAATCTCAAGCAATGAAAATTCAAGACACTATCAAAAGCCTACCAACTAAGAAAAGCTCAGGATGAGATAGATTCTCAGCCAAGCTCTACAAGACCTTAAAAGAAGAAGTAAAACTAAGTCTTCTCAAATTATATCATAAAATAGAAAAAGAGGGAATCCTTACAAACTCATTCTATGAAACTAGTATCACTCTAATATCAAAACGAAACAAAGACACATCAAGGAAAGAAAACTTCAGACCAATGTCTCTGATGAACATAGATTAAAAAAAAAATTCCCAAGCAACTCTAGGAAATAACATACAAACAAAAACATATTTAAAATTACTGCACCATGATCAAGTGGGGTTCATCTCAGTGATACAAGGTGGGTTCAACATGTAGAAATCAATAAATGTAAATAATCACATAAATAGATTTAAAGACAAGGATCATAGGAACATCTCAATAGATGCAGAAAAAGAATTCGACAAAATAAAGTGCCCTTTCATGTTCAAAACACTAGAAAAACTAGCGATAATAGAAACATATCTCAACATTGTAAAAATATGTTTGCTAAACCCAAAACCAACATCATTCTAAATAGAAAAAAATTAAAAGCATTCCCTCTAAAAATATGAACAAGACAAGGATGCCCTCTTTCACCGTGTCTACTCAACATTGTCCTTGAAACTCTAGGCAGAGCAATTAGACAGGAGAAAAAAAATAAAGGGATACTAATAGGAAAAGAAGAACTCAAACAATCATTATTTGCTGAAGACATGATTCTATATTTAGAAGATCCAAAAAATTCCACCAGAAACTTTATAGAA